CTGAGAGCTGATGGCAGAGTGTTTTCTTTTGTTTGTATGGCTTTAAAAGAGTGTGTGTGTGTGTGTGTGTGTGTATACATACCTTTGGAGTCATCTTATTGGTCCTATTTGTGTGTTTTGTCTTTGTATTCATGTGTGGATGCATGTGTCTGAGTATGTATTCTGTGCACAGTGCCTGTGATGGACAGAAGGTGTTGAGTTCCTTGGAGTTGGAGTTACAGGTGGCTGAGAGCCATCCAGCACTGGTGCTGGGAACTGAACTCCAGTTCTCTACAAGAGCATTAGGCACTCTTGACCGCTAACTCTTACCAGCCTTGCTTGTGTATTTTGGATCACAATTATACTGGTATGTTTTTATACAACATGAAATTCGTCATTATAGGAGAAACCAAATATATCTCCCTGTGGTTGAGTAAACGTCAGAAGTTCTGATATCTACTGCAGCACAGACAGCCCTTAAAATCTTGCATAAAAGCCAATTGCAAAGGACTTTATGTGGCATGGCTGTGGGGTAGCAAACTATCCATGTGGTGCATTTATAGAGATAAGGCTGAGGGATGGTCACCAGGGTCCCTGAGACTGGTGTTTAACATGGACAGTTTTCTTAGGAGCTGGAAAGCTCTGGAGCTGAAATGTTGTGAGCGTTGCCAGCAGTGATCCTGTGCTCAGTGTACTGAACTCAAGGTTCTCACTATGTAGCTCTGGCTGGCTTGGAACTCCCTATGTAGACCAGGCTGGCCTTGAACTCAGAGATCCTCCTACCTCTGTCTCCTGAGTGCTGGGATTAAATGTGTGTGCCATAACACCTGGCAACTCTTACGAGTGGGTGCAGTGAAGGTTGAGGAGATGGCTCAGTCTGTAAGGAACTTGCTGAAGAAACATTGAGGGCCTGAGTTTAGAAACCCAGCACTCATAAAATCCTGCATGTGATGGCATGTCCTATAATCCCAGCACAAGGGTGGCAGAGAAGCAGGACTCCTGTAGTTTGTCAGCCAGCAGCTGGGTTGGTAAGGTCCAGGTTCAGTGAGAGCCTCTGTTGGGACTAAACTTGTGTCTCAGCAAGGGCAGTGAGTGCTCTGAACCTCCCTGCCATCTCTCCAGTCTCTGCGTACTGGGTCTTTTCTCTCCTCTAGGTCCTTGTTCTGGCTGCCCAGGCACTATCTCGGCCACGGAGCCTCCAGAAGCTTCCCCAGCACGGTCCCCCTGGTTGTGGCACCTTGTGTGCACCAGCATTAGCTAGTTCTCAGCCTGGCAATGCTGCAGCTCCTGACTGGCAGGTGGTTGTGGAAGAGAGGATCAAAAGCAAGACGAGGAGGTTCTCCAAGGTCAGCAGAACTCTGTTCAGGGCCTGGTAGACATGGGGTTTTCATGGGGTTTTATTTTGTGGGTGGTAGGATGAGCAGTTGGATTCCTCTAGGTGTTGTCTGTCTGAAGGAGGCCAGTCACAGGCAGGGCCAGTGCCAGTGTTGGGGCTCATTTGAGCGAGAGTGTATGTACAAGCGGGGCGGGGGGGGGGGCATGTCAGAGCAGCAATATTTTAAAACATGGAAGTGAAAGGATCTCAGAATGCCATTCAAATAAAAATTGACCCTGGGACTATGGTGACGTCTGGAGATAGTTGAGTTGCAGCTCGGGGACTGGAGACCAGGTTATTTAACTTCCTACAATGTCTAGGTCTTCCCATGGTGTGGACTATAGCTCTGAATTGTTGATGTGCAGGGTTGGGACTCTGCTATCAGACCACAGTAGCCTGAGTCAGATTCTGCCTTCTCCACAGGGCCATGAAGCCCAGAGAGGCCAGGGCAAGCCTAAGGAGGTTGCACTGGGGGGCGGTAACCTTGCACTTAACTAATGCTGTGTCTTTGGTAGGGCTGTCCTCAGAGGGAGCTGTCAGGTGGCCCTAATGAATTCAACTCTGTGGCTGGTTACTTCTTCTTTCCCCTTCTTCAACACTTTGACAGGTGAGGTTTCTGGAACTTTAGACACACCGTGGTGGACAGTGGTTGTGACATGACAGGGTATAAATGTGAGCTTGGGTTCTTTTATAAGCCTGAGTTAAATGATATAGAATATTCTGGAAGGTTCCTTTGCTATTGTGTTTTGTGGTGAGGTCATAGTCATCACTCTCTTCTTTGATCCTGGATTTACGAAGGTGCTGGTGCTGCCGCCAGTGCTGCCTGACTGCTGAGCCTGTGAGATTTTGGTGACAGCATAGAGTATGGTCTTGACTCAGGGCCTGGTTTGTACCTGGCAGTGCCTGCACCTTGTGGCTATCCTTTGCCATACTGGCCCAGGGTGTGAAGGTGGGAGGAAGGCTATGTGAGCCTTCAAGGGTTTGGGTTTCAGTCAGTAGCCCTCTTTCTGGGCTCTTAGTCAATCATTAAGTGTTGGGGCTGCCCCATCCACTCAGCTCTATGTTGTAGGCCTGTGGTGACCTTCGACCTTTTAGGAGATGATCAGTTGGTACTTGGAAGACTGGCCCACACCTTAGCATCCCTGATGTACCTGGCTGTTAACACCACAGTGAGTTGGGAAATGGGGACTGAAAGCCCTGCCATAGCTTTACAGCAGTGCAGCCGTAGGAATAATTGCCAGTGTTCACGACAGGACCTGAGCTCTGTGTGGCTTGTTCATTTCCCACCTGTGAGCAGTTCAGGATGGTCATAGGCATGGGCACTACACCCTCAGAATACTACATCCCCTCCCTTTGGCCCTAGGGGCAGGTCTGTGCAAAGCTCCACAGGGCATTACATGCATCCCCTCAACGGAGGCGAGCAGTGACATAGTGGGAGCCTCCCTTTGGTGCAGGTGTGGGAAATACACACAGTACATCCCCTCACCGGCTGTCCCTCTGCTGACTTCCAGGTGGCTGTGCCTATGGGTAAGGCCCTGCTGGAGTTTGTGTGGGCTCTTCGATTCCACGTTGACACGTGAGTGGCCTGTGGGGCTCAGGGAAGCACAGGTCGCCAAGGCAGCATGCCTAATGTTTCCTAGCAAGAAGTGGCCTGTCAGGCCTGAGGGGGCTCAGACCGGGCTGGAGTGAGCTTTATTGCAGGTTTGCCTGCTGGACTTGGTACATGTGGGAGCTTCTTCCCCTAGGCTAGTTGGAGGCTCCATTTCACACAGTCACACCTCATCTTTCCCCACCCTCTTGATTGGTAGTTACGTGCGTCGGGGCTTGCTGTCCGCTGTCTCGTCTGTCCTCCTCAGTGTACCCACAGAGCGGCTACTGGGGGATCTGCCAGATGAGCTGCTAGAAGCCAGATCCTGGTTGGCAGGTGAGTGTCTGGACTGGAACAGAGTAACCAGGTGTGTGGAGTAGCTGGAATAGATGAGACTAGGCCAGTCAGTCTGAGTGGGTGTGTCCTGTGTTAGCTCTGAGAAATGTGACGACATGAATGTGCCAATCAAGGAGGTGATCTTTACCCTGTTCACTTTGGGGACCACAAGGGTCCCAACAGGGACAATTCAGATGGGACGCTGTCCCTTCAGCAGGCTCCCATATCTATAGCCAGACATAATAGTACAGGCCTTTTACCCCAGCACTTGGGAAGCAGAGGCAGGTGGAGCTCTCTGAATTCAGGGCTAGCCTGATCTACACAGTGAGTACTAGGCTAGCCCTAGTCTGGAGGCTATATACTAAGACCTGTTTCTAAAACCTGATTGAAGATTTCAAACCCAGATAGAGTGAATGCTGGACACTTTAGAACCACTCTGAAGTATTTGCCATTCTTTTTTTGTTTGTTTGTTTGTTTTTGTTTTTACGAGACAGGGTTTCTCTGTATTGTTTAGGAGGCTATTGGTCCAGCCCGGCCTTGAACTCACAGAGATCCGCCTGCCTCTGCCTCCCGAGTGCTGGGATTAAAGACGTGCGCCACCACCGCCCGGCTGTATTTGCCATTCTTTACCTCTCACCTCTCTACATAATCTTTTAAAAAGCCAGCTGCAGACTCAGACCCATTGGAAAGACCATACCCAGGACCCCAGCTTCCTATGAGGCTTTGTGACTGGCCCAGATACAGCATCAGACTGTGGCTTCCACAGGACTCCTGGCCAGGCAGGGGTCCTACATGTCTTCTATTGCTTTACTGTTTCTGATGGTCAGCCATCTTGGTCAAGGCCAGGTTCTCCTCAGGGTCATGTGCTGGGGCTCCCCAAGTTGTCTTCCCTGACTAATTTTATCCCAGGTCAGTGCTTGGGCTACTGAACTGTGTACCCGGTTTGTGTGACCCTGCCCCGTAGAGCCCCCTGGGAAAAGCCTGGCAGGCGTCTCCTCGAGAAGACCGTGAAGGAGAAGAAACGATTAGCTGCCCCATGCTACTCACTTGCTCTTCACTTCCTTCTACCTTGGCAGATGTGGCTGAGAAGGATGTGGACGAGGACTGTAGGGAGCTGGCTGTGAGGGCTCTGCTGCTTCTGGAGAGACTCAAAGACAAGCTCCTATCCATTTCCTCTCCATAGCCCCGAGGACTCCACAGGGACCCAGATAGCCTCTCTGCTCTCCCCACTGGAAGAAGGAGACCTCTGGGAAGCCAGGTCTGGAGGGGCTGGTTTGTCCCCGTGTACGTGGAGTAAGCTCCTACTAGTCTGACCTTACTGTTATTTATGCTCTGGCAAGGCTGAGCGTTCAGCAAAAGATACTGGAGCTTGTGCCATGGGACTCAACAGCCTTAGACTGAACAAAATTTGGACTGGGGGTGTGGGGCCCAAGAGGTGTCTCTTCCTGAGAGCAGAACTTTGGGCTCTGTGGCCAGGGCCTCAAGGGTGAAGCTAAGGGACAGATATTCAGCTTCAACTGCATCCCGACGGGGATGCTAGGACAGCAGACCAGGAGTAGCTGGCTGGGTCCCCAGAGGCTTCTTGACAGTGTTTCTGTGAGAATAAACAGGGCCACAGATAGTACATAGTCTGTTTTTGTGGTGCTCACTGGCAAGGCTTTAGTTCCTACATGGGTCCTCATGAGGGTCAGCAAGGAGTATGGGTATTTAAGAGAACAGACCTGAGAAAATGGACTTTATTTGGAGTCACAGGAGTGTGAGCAGTCATGAATGGTGCATGGTATTCCAGTCCCTACTCTGGTGCAAAGGGCACCATCCTCGGGGCTCAGGCCTGCCCCCGGTGGTCCTTGCTGTGGTCTCAGGAGCACCTGGCTCTGCTGGGTCTATCAGATAGCCAACTACAGGCATGGTTAACAGTAAGAAGTAGCCTCAAGAACCAAGTGCAGTGCAGTTCACAAAGTTCTAGGAGCTTCAGAGTCTCTTGTTGGGAGAACATGGGAAAGATGAAACCAACTCCCTTTAAAAAGAAGTAAACCAAAAACCCACAGGAGCCACCAAGCACCTGGAGGCAAGAATGCTGAAGGAATGACTTCAAAATACAAATACAATCTTCTTTTTAAGTACAGAACTTAGGCAAACCCAGAACTGCACCCTCCTGGGCTGCAGAGGCTGGGCTCCATGTCCCACCACCCTGCTTACATATGAAAATGCAGAATTTAAAACAATAATAAACAAACAAAAAACAAAAGGAGCTGCCTTTCCTAAAATTCCAGAAGATATCCCAGCAGCAGGGACCCCGGACATCAGGGGTCATTTTCCATCTCTTCCATCACCTCTTCGTGGTCCTCCATGCTGTTGTGCCGGACCCGCTCAGGCAGGATGCGAGACAGTGGGAGGCCTAGGCCCTGGTGCACAGTGTCCACAGTGTGCTGGTCCACATAGTATGATATGTTGGCTGAAGGGATTCTTTTCCTCATCTCCTCAAGATACTTATAGGCCTAGAAAAGAGGAACAGCAGAGACTTGAAGGCCCAATAATCTCTGCCAACAACCAGGTCTGTGCTCTAGAGCACGGGGACTTGGGGTAAACAGGGTGACCTCACCATCTGGTATTCCTCCATCTGTACATGGTGTTCCACCAGGAAGCCATAGACGTCCCCAATACGGATGGTGCTGTCCAGGTCTGGCTCTTCTAGGAGCAGCTCACACTGTCTGATGGACTCTTTGGGGTCCTCTGTGTATGTCCTAACAAGGTGGCAGACAAGGCTTGAGCCCAACCCACAATATGTTACATGCCAGCAGCTGGCATGGGTACCTGTCCTGCAGGAGCAGCTTTATGCAATGGCCAGGTGGCAGTGCGTGCGTGCATGTGAAGTTGACTTCCATGAATTATGTTAATTCCTTAATTCACTTAACATACATTCATCACCTTCAGTGATGGGTCCTGTGCTTTGACACCGAGATCTGTTTAGAAGGGACACATGGGAGGGTGACACATGGAGAAAGGTGTGCCATATTACACATGCAGATAAAACTAGGAAGAACCTTCCAGTCAGAAGTGTGCATGGACTAACCCTAACCATAACCATAACCCTGATACTGTATCAAACCCCCATTAAGTGCTTTCTTTTATAAGTTGCCTTGGGCATGGAGTCTCCTCACAGCAATAGAAAATAACTCAGCCCCTGACCAGGCCAAGGCTCCTCTTACACATATATATTGACTTGAGCTCACTCCTCCTACACCAGTCTTTTTTCTTAATTTCTGTGGTAATAGTAATCTTCCCAAGATGGTGTGGAGATTCTGAGGGTATAACAGGCAATAGTTATCTTATTTAGCTGTTCAAGAATTACCAGAAGAATATCTGTTAGAAACACAGACTTGGGTTGGTCTCTTAAAGTCAGTTTGAACTCTTCTGAAGGAAAGTGGAGGGCCTGGAGGACATGAGAAGCTCCCCCAGGACAGCTTGCCATTACTCTCCTGACCTGTTCCTCAAGAGGACATACCTTCGGGCCTGGATGAATCTCTTCACTAGGGTCATCTTGCTTTGTAGCTGGGCTAGCTTGGTCTCCTGGTCCAGGGGACTCTTGGCCTTGGCTTTGGACAGGCACTTATAGGCCTCAGTCAGTGCCCCGTGAGCCTTGTCATAGTTCTGGTACTCATCGATCTCTACCTGTAGCAAAGAGACCCTTGAGGACCCAAGGGGCTCTGTAGCCCCTGAAACCCTGCTAGGACCTGCAGAAGCTCTGTACCTGTGCACAGGCATCATAGAAGCCAGCCAGGAGGTCTAGGGCCCGCCCTTTGGTGTAGAAGCTGATAATATTCTTCATGATCTCCGGCTCCTTCCGCCAGTCCAAGGACTGTAGGTAATTGGCTGCCATGATATAGATTTCCTTCTGTCTTGAAACTCCCGCAAAGAACACAATTTTCTCTGTGTCTCCAGATTTTAGCAGTGCTCTCATGGCCTAGGCAGAGAAAGGGCCAGGGCTCAGTTGAGCAGCTGTAGGTTTTGGAAAACTCTAGTTCCAGTTTGCTAACAGGACCCAACACTGTGAGTCTCTCTCCACTAGAAGCATCATTGCGAGGGCCTTCATGGATCGTACTCCCCAGTCCTTCAACATCCCAGCTAGGAAGGCTGCACCCTGCTCAGGCTACTCAGAGGTACATGTAGCAGCAGGGCAGGTGCCCAAGTGCCCAACAAATGGCCCAGCTGAGATTCCGTGGCCCAGACTCACTTTCAGCTTGTTCCCAGCCTGTGTGTACTTCTTGGTGGCCAGGTGATAATTGCCCTGGCGCATACAGCAGTTGGCAATCTGTTCCAGCAGCTCACGCCGTGACTCCTCAGACAGGTCCTTTGAGTCCTTGGACACGGTCATCTTCTCTGCCATCTCCTCGGTGATGGTCATATTCTGTTCTAGGCACAGCTGCAGAGCCTCATGGTACTGCGGGAGTGCCAGAGAAACAAAGCAGGGCTGTGACACAGCAGCTGAGAGGGCCTGGACTTCCTTCACATCTGCCACCCCTGCAGAGGAAGCTGGCCCTGCCTCCGTGCTGGTTACTGCCTGTGGACCAAGCTAAGGGACAGATTCAGACATGCTATTTTCCCCCATGCTTTGTTTTCTTTTTTTAAAGAAATGATCACATGGGTTTTTATTTTATAGTATTGAGGATTGAACCCAGGACCTTGTAGATGTCATGCAAGCTCTCTACCATTAAGCCATGCCCCCAGCCCATTCCCTCATGCTTTTAATAGTTCAGAAGAATAAACATTTGCTGTGGGGGAAAACCTCCAACAATGTATGTTTTCATAAAAAAATACTGCAAAGTCGGGTGTGGCAGTGCACACCTGTGATCCTAGTGAGATAGGAATGTGAGTGCTAGTCAGCTTGAGTTTCATGCTTACTTCAAGGCCGCACCTCTAGGTTATAGAGATAGACCTTAAAACAACACCTATGCTGGGCATGGTATCATGTGCTTATGGTTCTAGCTACTTCTCAGAGGCTCAGGCAGGAAGATCACTTGAGCTTAGGATTTTGAGGTCAGCTTGAGACACTATCTAGAAAATCAAACAAACCCCCCAAATATAGGAAATTTATGTTGTGTGAATTTCATTGCAGACAGACAGACACACACACACAAAAGAACTGACTGCCTGGTTAGAGCTGAAGACATGGGATGGGTGACAAGGCCGCCCTCACATACAGCAGCAGTCTTGATGTACTATGCTGTGTGAACTTTTGGGATCCCCCAGACTTCCAGCCAAGTTGTAGCTATAGCCTTCTTGAGACTTTATAACCAGACAGAAATAGCAGAAGTGTTTCCCACTCCATAGCTCCCACCATCCCTGTACCTTCTTGGCAGCCAGCAGAAGTTCCACAGCCTTTTCAAACTGCCTGTGCTCAATGCAGAAGTCTGAGCAGCGGGCTAGGAGAGCAGGATCTGACTTCTCATCCAGGTCCTCTGCTATGAGCTGTAGGGCTGCAAACTGCTGGGTGGTGAAGGCCAACTCCAGAGCCTTGGAAAAGTGTCCAGCCTATGGGCCATGGTGGAAACTTAGCTGTTTCTTGAGGTCCCAAGAATTTACCTAGTCAGTTTTCCTGGAGCGTCGTGAAGGTAAGTGTCTCTAGTCTCTGGAGTCCCCAACTGAGGCCAACCAGCCACTCACCTTATGATACAGCATGACAGCCCTGTCCATTTGCTCGCCCTTCTCCTCATAATACCGGGCTGCCTCGATCATGTCCTCTGGGGAGCTCAACAGGGCCAAGTTCATGAGCTGGTCATCTAAGCCATTCTCCTGCAGGGAGGAAGTGGGGCTCTGCGGGCAGTTCTGTCTGGCATACCCAAACCCACTTAGATTTGTATTTGTGAATGTGGCTGTGTTTGGTATCACCAATGGATCTGTGCCAGTTCAGTTTTTAAGGAGTACCAGGCTTTACTAGGTCAGTGTGTACAGAAAGTACGGACAGCGTGTACAGAAAGTACGGACAGCGTGTACAGAAAGTGTGGACAGCGTGTACAGAAAGCGTGGACAGCGTGTACGGAAAGTGTGGACAGCGTGTACGGAAAGCGTGGACAGCGTGTACGGAAAGTGTGGACAGCGTGTACGGAAAGCGTGGACAGCGTGTACGGAAAGCGTGGACAGCGTGTACGGAAAGCGTGGACAGCGTGTACGGAAAGTGTGGACAGCGTGTACGGAAAGCGTGGACAGCGTGGACAGAAAGTGTGGACAGCGTGGACAGAAAGTGTGGACAGCGTGGACAGAAAGTGTGGACAGAAAGCGTGGACAGCGTGTACGGAAAGTGTGGACAGTGTGTACAGAAAGTGTGGACAGCGTGTACAGAAAGCGTGGACAGCGTGTACGGAAAGTGTGGACAGCGTGGACAGAAAGTGTGGACAGCGTGTACAGAAAGCGTGAACAGAAAGTTGGTTGCAGCTTCTGCCTCTCAGATGTTTAGTCTGAGACTGCTCCCCTACAGAGACCTCTTACCAAGATCCACTAACCCCTCCTCCCTGTGCTGTACATAATCAACACTCCGAGTTGCTAGTTTGCTAGTAGGTGCTCTCCATAAGAGTGAGCACAGCTCACACAATCCCAGCTTTTCTATGTCTGTGTGGCATTTCTTCACTTTGCTGTTACGCCGGTCAGGTTTCCAGGACCAAGCAGGGCAGGGTGTGGCACAAGAGCACCATTTGCCTTGTGTCCCAGGGACCACATACCTTGCAAAGGCGGATGGCATTGTTGAAAGCCTGTGCCCTTGTGTAGAAGTGCACTGCCTGCTTTACCTCATCCTGGCTCTCATACTGCCGGGCAAGGTGGTAGGATGCAGCCCAGTCTCCAGTCTCGTTGGCTATTTCAGCAGCCTAGAAAGACCCAGAGCATCCAGGTCTTATATCTATCCAGCAGCCTCACTCCGCTCAAACAGGCCCACCCTACAGGATGCACTATCCTATATTTTATTCCTAAAGTTTATTTATTTTATGTGCACTGGTGTTTTGTCTGCATGTCTGTCTGTGTGGGGGTGTCAGATCATCTGGAACTGGGGTTATAAACAGTTGTGAGCTGCCATGTGGGTGCTGTGAATCAAACCAGGGTCCTCTGGAAGAGTGGCCAGTGCTCTTACCTGCTGAGCCATCTCTCCAGTTCCACCTATTTTTTTTAAATATTGTTTTTTTAAGAACATTTCCACCTATTTTAAAAAATATTTAAGTTTTATTGTGTATGTGTTTGTGCATATAAATGCAGTTCCTGTGGAGGCCAGAAGAAGGCACTATATCCTCTGGAGTTGGAATTAACAGGTGGTTGTGAGTTGCTCCACACAGAGTGAGACGCAGGGGATCCCCATGCAAGCCCTCTACCTCCCCACGTGCTCTCACCTTCTGAATGTTGCCCTGAAAGCAATGAATCCGGACTAGGGAGAAGTAGTCCTGTGCCAGCTCGTAGTAACGTAACGCAGTGTCCATCTCAGCCTGGCTCTCAAGGTACTGGGCCCACCACCTCCACAGGGTCCTGTGGGATAACCCTTGGGGCTCAGGGGCTCACTCCCCTGGAAGTGACACCCTGCACCATCACTGCTCACAGGTGATGCATGAGACTGGAAGGGACAGATCTGGAGTCTATTCCAGGACCAGCACTTGGGTCAGGTGGACTTCCTCCCCACTCTGACATGGAACAACACCATGTCTGACCTCATGGTAAACCCACACAACTGGGAGATACTGTCCCATTGAAGACACTTACTTGTCCTTCATCCTGTTGATATAGAGCTCCAGCGATTGCAGGTCTTCTGACAGCATCCTAGGTACCTCAAAACGGTGGGTGTCTGACTTCTCGTAGCTGTGGAAGAAGGAGCTGTTCCATTTTGCTTCACTATCAGGGGCTACATCATAGCATGCATGTAGCAGCCTAAGAGCAGTCACCTGGTCTGCAGGCCTGGGGACTGTACACTGTTGTACGTTTTGTGCTGTGTGGACCAGTGTTAGCCATACTTCAGAGCTTATCATGCAAATTCCAGAGCACGGATGTGACTCTAAGCACAGCTCACCCCAGCTTTGGCATGGGTTTCCCTGTGGCTGTATCCCTTTGGCACATTTTTCCTCAGGGGTCCCCAAGTCTGGAATGAACCACACTGACTGACACACAGGGACAAACATTCTGTCTCACTACCACAGAGCCCAGGCTCCTGGATAGCTCCTATGGAGGATCACATGGGCTGTCCTGGGACAGATCTTCCTTCCTGTCATGGCCACCTAACTAAGGCAGCAAGAGTCAGGGCCCATCCCTGCCCAAGTCCCACTCACTAACTGAGGGCCAGGCCACAGTCAGCACTGGCCTCCAGGTGCTTGGCATAGTTGTAGTAGGTGGTGCGCAGGTGGACACGGTCATGGGCCTCAGCCACCTCCACAGCTTTCTGCCACTGATCCGAGGCCTGGTAGAGCTTGTTCAGGAGGTCGTAGCGCTTGCATTTCTTGTATAGTTCTTCAGCCTCCTCCTGGGGGTGAAGAGAGACGCCTCCTCAGTTACAGTGCTGATGTTTTAGCAAGGATGATGGTCACAAGGGGCTATCACAGTGTCACTTTGCTGTGAAGTCCATTTCACAGAATAGGACAACAGCTGCCCCCACTAGCTCATGACAAAGATGCACAGCATGCCTTGAGAACACACACTTGAGATGCACATTGACACCGTGCACAGGGCTGGCACAGTCAAGAAAGGCAACACGTGTCCGTGTGACTTTCCAGTCACCAGTTACACCTGCATATTGCTGAGAGAATGCTTAACCTTGCTGCAGCCCAACTATCCTCTGGTGGGGTCCTGCAGAACCCCTGTGCTCCCCTACAAATAGGGAAGTCTTCTGAGTGCTCCTGCTATGCAGCATGTGTGTGGGTGGGATGCCTGCACCCCACAATCCCCTGCTTGTAGATATGTCCCTTGTAGCCATATGCACACTAAGTGAAGGTTGCGGCATCTGACTGTTGGGAATGTTGAGTATCTTTTGGGAAGATCTTTTGAAAGTGGGAAGAGGTAGCTCCAGCAGAGACTTCTGTTTGTAGGTGGGAACCTGCCAGGTATACCCTATCTCCCTTCTGCAGGCCCCAGGTCTTAAGAGAGCAGCAGTCAGACTGCCTGTCTACCTGCCAGCCCTTTCCATCTCCTAGGCCCTGTGTTACTAGACTTTAGCTGAGGAGGGTCTATTCTTAGCAACCTCTGCTCTTTTTAATGCTGGCTCAGCTTGGCAATGTGGCAAGAGTAACCACCTTCCTCTCTGCCTCCAAGTGAGGTCTGTCTGTCTCAGACTGGGGCCACTCACCAGCATGCCCAGCTGTATGGCCAGCATGGCCACTCTGGCTTCCAGTTCTGGCTCCCGCTCAGCTTCCCGCAGTGCTCGGGCTCCACGGGCATGGCCCATGTTCCCTAGGCACACCTTGGCAACATCCAGCCTCTGAGTCTTCACACACATGCGTGCCATGTTCTCCCAGACAGTCTCACTGTAGACAGAAGATAGGAGGCCTGTTAGCTTCCAACCCAGAGCTCAGGGTATCCACCAGCCCCTTCTCAGCATCTGACAGTGCGTATAACCACCAAGCAGGGGGTCCTACATGGCACTGTATACAGCCTACACAGTAAACTGCAGACTAGGTATCACATGCCCATTACTCAAAAGGAAAGAAGTAGTGAATTATCCTGAGTCTCCCCCTGGCACGCCTTACATGGCATCCCTGATCTTGTGGCCTTTGGGGATGACAATACTAACTACTCCTTGTGTTACTTTGTCTGCTCAGCAGACAAAGGCTTTTCCTAATTGTGAACACACATCGAGTCAGGTCAAAGACAGAACCTCTTGCTCACAACAACAATGGACTCCACGGAGCTTTCCTAAACTACTTCCAGTGCTAGGGACTCTACAGAAAGAAGGGGCTACGATGGCCTTGCATCACCTCTCCCAGATGGTCACAAGTCAGGTTTGGAAGGGTGGGTGGGTGGAGTCCACAGCCCAACTCAATCTAGGGGCCTGGAGTAGGGCCAGTCCCTGATGTGTGGCTAGACAGTAGACCCTTCCTTGTCCCTCATTTTGAGACTGGACCTCCTCAGAGAGCTCCTGCCTGAGACACAGAAGCTGAATAGAGAGGTGGAAAAGGGAACCAGTTTACTCTCCCCACAGTACCCACTCTGCTTATCCTAACCTGGAATAGGTTTTTCCTACTCTAAGACCACGGTAGTGCTACATACACATGCAGTTAGCCTCTCTTGATTACCCAACACACACACAGCCCCACTCATCATGTTCCAGTTCCCCCCCCCTCATCATGTTCCTCCCCCCATAAAGCCTGGCCAGAGTGGTAGTCTCCTTCCAGAAAGTGGGGCAGGTCTGTCCTTTCCCAGCCTCACAGACTTGGCAGAACTAAGGAACTTGGAAGGCAGCTACCCACATGAGGCTGGCTGCTGTTCTGGGGAGCAGGGCCTGAAATGTAATTGTCTTGAACATTTTCCTAATGGTTTGTCCAGGAAGAAGGATGAGTAAGAGGACTCTCAATCTGTTGGGCCAAGTCCTTCTGTGGGCAGCTAGATGATCCGTGGATGACCCATATCTCAGATTCCCCGATTACAACAGAAGTGGAAGGAAAATACCAAATAAGTCAGCTCAAGCATTGGCTGGGGTCAGGGTGGCCACTGCTGTGTCTGTGGTTGAAAATTTACATATCCAGGTATCCTTCAAACCAGCATATTCTGCCCATAGGTTATTCTGACCTGTCTGGGTCCTGTTAGAACTCTGACTGATTCCATAGGTACATGTATCAAGTAACAGGAGGGCAAGCATGTCTACATTTTAAAAGTGACACCCCTGGTGAGTACTGCTTGTGTGTGTGTGAAGCCTGACCAGAGTTACATGGCAGCTACATAGGGTCAACATGGGAATGCTGTGCTAGGAGAGAGGTAATTATGTATACCTAAATCCCACCCCAAACCCAACCAGCTGCGGAGGGCTTCAGCCCTCCCCTACTCCAGGCTATTCAAGCTCATCCCTTCACAGTCTCTCCTGGGGCTTCTCATGCTCTGGTCTGCAATTTTTAGAACATACAGGAGCTGTTCTGAAGCAGGTGACACACGGGAGGACCTCAGAGTGCCAGCCATCAGGCAGCACCTTGCTGAGTTATTTTTCTCAGTAGGTGGACTCACTGCCCTCGTGCTTTTGGAAATCAAATGACTCATGGTAGCCCTGAGGCAGCATATTGGCAAACCTGCTCAATGCTATGTGGTCCCAGCCAGGGCAGCATCCCAACAGGAACTGCTGTGGCTGGATACACATCCATGTCAGGGGCTGGGTATCTGAGGCCTCAAGCAGTAAGTCCCACTCTTTAATTCCCTTCTATCCTTTCGTGTGGTGTCTCACAGGGAGCTCTGAGCCTCAGGTCAGATCCTGTGTGATGTCTGCCAACACTGTACAGACAGGTTCTCTAAGTCAATGCTGTTCCTAGAAATGTCATGCAGTGCTAAGTCTAGAATCCCAAAGGAAATGCTTAGTTCTCCCAGCACAACTCCAGTGAGCTACATAGAACTTTCAGAACAGTCAGGGTCTGCCAGTGCCCTCCTGAGCTTGCTGGGTAGCTGAGTGCGTGATGCATGGGCAGCTGAGTCTACAGCAAGATGGTAGGTAGACGTAAGGGTCTTTAAAAAAAAATCATACTGCTCCGGCTAGTTTCCATGATTAGATGCTTAAAAATGTTTGCAAAGCTTGATATAGTGGCACATGCCTTTGATCCCAGAAGTGGGAGAATATAAGTTTGAGGCCAGCCTGATCTACACAGTGAGTTTCAGGACAGCCAGGGTTACATGATGAGAACCTGTCTCAAGAAAATGAAACCAAAAGAACAGTTTGTTCTCACTGCCTCGTAAGGCCTGGGTGTGGGGACTTGATGAAGGGGAGGACATGGCCTTTTGGCTGTCTCTGCTTTCCTGGGTACCCCTCTTCTGCACCATCTAGAAAGCAATGGGTGCATCCATATCCAGTGTTGGGACACTAAGTAAGTGTAGCCTGCAGACAAAGCTGGCTGGTATGTGCCCTGGGTTTTCTCTTTTCCCACCAGGGAGGTCTGTTCTAGGCAAGTGTCTGGCCCTTGTGCTGAGTAGGAGACAGGCTGGAGACTTGTCTCAGGGTCACTGTGCTTCCCTGGCCCTGTATGTGACAAAGATCTTTTCATATCACTGAAATGTCTGGCTTATTTCCACATGGGCCCCTGCCTGACAATGAATCAAGCAGGAGATCTGAAGAGCTTGTGCTGGAGGCACAGGCCTCAGCCAGGCAGGGAGAATTTGGGAGGAGGGTCCCTTAAAGGCCAGCAAAGGCCCTCTCTTCCTGGGCTGAGGTTGCTGTGCACCAAACATGGGAAGGGCCAGCCCTCAGCTGCTGCAAGAACCCAGGCCCAAGGAGTAGCTGCCAGCCTTTTCCACAAATGCACAGTGAACTTTCCGTGGCTGTTTCTAGACCAGGACCATCTCAACTCCCACAAGATTCCTGACATTCTCTGCACACGACTCCCTGACAACTTCACTCTCCAAGGATGGGACAACTCCAACTCCAGGACAGAGTTTTGGGATTTGTACATCTGGCATAAATTCCAAGAAGTAAACACCCTCCTGGCCCTGTCCAAGTCTTGAGAATTTCCTGTTGTCTGAGTTACTCCATGGAAAGGGATCACATCTGCACTTCATCAGCCTACAGGCGCCTAGATGAGAAGCAGATGTGGTCACAGAGGGGGCTCTGCCATGGGCCTAGTTTCTGGGAGGACCTATTCTCAGCTGGACCTGTCCTAGTGAGCAACTAGGGGACCAGAAGGCAGATGTACACTCATGTTACCTGTGCGTGCGCATGTGTGTCTGTGCACTCACGCAGTAGCAGTGCAGGGAGTGAGGGACAGATGAGCATGCAACTACAGTAGCGATCCTCCAGCTTAGTTTGGGGTCCTCTGGATGGGAGACTTCCTACCAGCCACACAGGAGCCTAAAATCCTCTGACGACAGCATATCTCAAGACAGGACCCTCCTGACTCCATCTCTCCCCTGCCTGCCATCCCACACAGATAGGCAGATGGTTCAGTGCACTGATGCCTGGATGTATGTCACAAGCTCCAACAAGGCTTCCTTCTCACCCAGCTCAAGAAAGGAAAAACACAGCTACCAAGGGCCCCATCTGAGATGATCAGATGCGTCCTTGTGGCCTTCAGCACTACCTATAGAAGGCTGAGGCAGAAGGATCTTGTCAGCTTGGGAATTTTTTTTTTTTTTGCCTTTTTGAGACAGGGTTTCTCTGTGGCTTTGGAGGCTGTCCTGGAACTCGCTTGGTAGTCCAGGCTGGTCTCGAACTCACAGAGATCCGCCTGCCTCTGCCTCCCGAGTGCTGGGATTAAAGGCGTGTGCCACCAACGCCCGGCTCAGCTTGGGAGTTATAAGTCTTTTTTTTTTTTGGTTTTTCGAGACAGGGTTTCTCTGTATTGTCTTGGAAGCTGTCCTGGAACTCACTTTGTAGACCAGGCTGGCCTGGAACTCACAGAGATCCACCCGTCTCTGCCTCCGGAGTGCTGGGATTAAAGGCGTGCGCCACCAACGCCCGGCTGGGAGTTATAAGTCTTAAAAAAAGCCTCCTGGGTTTGAAACTACATGTTTGGTTCTTACTGGAAATTAGCCATTTAACAACTACCTAAAGATAACTGGCTTAATTAAGATTTTCTCTTAATGGGAACTTGAGGAAATGTCCATTTCAAAAACACCTGCTCTGTTTTGTGTTGGGGAATGTTGTATGGGAGATGCTGCACCCTAATTCTGCCTCTGGGGGGAGGCACATGCAGGAACAATGGCAGTTGTCCTACTCAAGTGTCTTCTGAGTCATAGCATGAGCTGACAGTAGATAGCACCCCACACTGCTTTTCAAGCTCCTTCTGCTTAGAATGCAACCCACAGGCCTGGAAGTGATGGTGCATGCCTTTAATCCCAGCATTAGGGGGGGCAGGTGGATCTCAGTGAGTTCGAGTCCAGTCTGGTCTACCGAGAGAGTTTCAGGGCAACTAGGGCTGTTATACAGAGAAACCCTGCCTCAAACAAGCAAGAAGAAAGGAAGGAAGGAGAGAGAGAGAGAGGGAGGGAGGGAGGGTGGGAGGGAGGGGGAGAGAGAGGGGGGAGAGAGAGAAGGGGGAGAGAGGGGGAGAGAGAGAGAGAGAGAGAGAGAAAGGACATAACTCACAGAGAGGCTGGACCCAGAGACCTAGAATGACAAGTAAATTCCCTTCAGGCCCAGGCCAAGGAGAATGGAAAATATAAATAAGCCATATCAATACTGGCTTCAAACTTCAGGGAGAAAAGCCATAAAACCCCTTAGAGAATTGAGAAGACATTTTCAGGACTGATGATGTGAATGCAAACTTATGGAGTGCCAGGAGCCTGACTATATACACAAACGTGTGATTGAAGGTAGCAATCCTTGGAAGTAGGGGGTGGCCTAGCATGTCAGTGCATGAAGTCAGGGAGAGGCTGCACTGATTTGCGGCACTAGTCAGCATCAGATTCCTTGTGTCCAGATACTATCCTGGGTGTGTGTACTAGAGGATGGGTTAGGTAGCCGACAGCACCTATATTCTTGTGTTCATTTATGCAGCTCTAAAACCCTGGTGGGTGGATCTCTGTTATGGGGGTCAGGGTCTCTGCAGTTGGAGCACAGAGTCTCAGGCCTTTTATTCACCAGAGCTGAAGCCTTATAAGGAGGACATATGATGGTATAGTCACCTGTCTTGCTTCTGTCCAGCCTCAGGGGATCAACTGTCATGTCAGTAAACAGACCTGGCTAGTCAGAAACCACATCAGGTATCTCAGCCTGCACAATGCCCTAGCCTCCTCCCAGAATTCCGTCTCTTCTTGCTACCACAAGAACAGCCCAGGCAGATTCCTCAAGTAGGGCCCCTTCCCTATCAGGTCTGAGCACACTTGCTCCCTTGAGGTGTACGGGTCTCTGCCAGCAGATGATGGTCTGTTTCAGGTGCCTTCCCAACCTACTTTGCCCTCCCATAACCTGTATCACCATTCAAAGATAGAATCCCAGCTGGGCAGTGGTGGTGCACATCTTTAATCTCAGCACTCAGGAAGCAGAAGCATGCGGATCTCTGTGAGTTCGAGGCCAGCCTGGTTTACAGAGTGAGTTATAGGACAGCCATGGCTACAAGGAGAAACCCTGTTTGGAAAAACAAACAAAAAAGTAGAACCACTGTGGAGAGGGAAGATCAATGACTCTTAACCTTTCTAATGCTGCAACCCTTTAATATAGTTCCTCATGTTGTGGTGACTCCCCCCCACCATAAAATTATGCTGTTGCTATTTCGTAAGTGTAACTTTGCTATTGTTATGAATTGTAATGTAAATATCTGTTCTTCAATGGTCTTTGGCCACCCCTGTGAAAGGGTCGTTTGACCTTCTCAAAGGGGTTGCGACCCATGGTTGAGAACCACTGCTGTAGACTCCGCGAACTCATAGTACCTATCATGCAGGGGGCAATGGATGGATGGATGGTTGGACACGTAGTCTCTTAGGATTCTGCCTGCTTATGGTGTTCCTGGCATTCCCCCGGTCCCGGACCTAGCACAGCTGTACAGCTGCACAGCTGGCTGGGTTTGACGGCAACAGGTACGAAGATGAGTGTCCTGGCTGGCATCCCTGACTACTCCTATGGGACAGGAAGGTGGGGAGGGGCAGTCAGGGGGTGGGCTGTAGCAAGCCGTTCCCATCAGGAAGCGCATCCTGTTAGTGTCTGGCTCTGTGGCAGGGCTGCTATTTGTTGCAGTTGGCTACGCCCTCCTGCTCACCAAAAACAGCCTCAAAAACAACCATTTCCTCTCTGCTGAGAGACAGGGAAACGGGAGCTCGCTTGCGCGCAGACACACACACACACACACACACACACACACACACACACACACACACTTCCTTGTAGCACGCACACACTGCTTTCCAGGACCTGCCATTTGTGGCAGAGGTACCAAGACAGGCTAGGCAGCAGAGCAGTGGCCAAACCCACACTGCTTCCACAACCCTGCTCTCATCGGACTGGCTCCCACAGGCAGTTCTAAGGAGTGTGACCAGCTGATTCCCACGCTGTGCCTGCCTCCTGAGTTACTCTGTTTTCTACTGCTGTAGGCAAGAAGCACTGCGAACACAGCCTCCCTGGCCTCTGTTCCAAAGAAGACGGCCCACTTACAACTCTGGATTCTCGCTGGTGTGGCCGGTGCCCCAGATTTCTCCCTGGAATGGGTCTCAGGGAGACCAGCTTCAGCACAGGCTTGTCCCTGCTCCAGGTTCAAGAGGGAGGATAAGGCAGGGCTGTGAGCAGCTCACTTGGACCCATCCCATGGGCTTCTCCCCATACCGCCGACATCCTCATGTGCTTGGCTGGAGCTGCTGCATAGCTTCCCAAGGATGAGTGGTGATGTTCTCTAGCTACACCTAGCAGCATCGGCTTTCTCTGGATGCACAGCAGCTGACCGAGACTTGGAACTTTCTCCGAGATAGACAGTACTGGCAGTCAGATATGACTGTCCAGAAACTAGTGGCCACAGCTGTGCTGGTGGCCCTTGTCTCCCTCATCCTTAACAATGCAGCAGCATTTACCCCCAACTGGGTGTACCAGACGCTGGAGGATGGACGCAAGCGAAGTGTGGGGCTGTGGAGGTCCTGCTGGCTGATGGACAGGGGTAAGGGAGGCACAAGCCCTGGGGCCCGAACTGGGCAGGCGGACACACATGACTGCGAGGTGCTAGGATGGGGCTCTGAGTCAGCAGGCTTCCAGGAGTCTCGAGGCACCGTAAAACGTAAGTCTCCGTATTTTTCTGTCACCTTTGGGTGGATAGGGGAGGTTGTGCTCAGGAACCTGGGCCTCAGGCCCACCCTGAAAAGCAATGCCACATAACTCCCCTGATGTTCTTTCTCAGAAATTCAATTCATGTGTCTGAAGGAGGAAAGATGGGTATGCTGATCAAATCAAGACACTGTTACTTGACTTAAAAGAAGTACTACTAAGGAGTGAGACAAGAAGTGTAAGAACACGTGGATGAGTTCTGTCTGTGTTTCTGAGGTAGTCAGGGCCTTTAGGCCAGTGAAGGAGACTCTGGCTGGGATGTCTAGGAGACCAGAGGAAGCACGGGGTAGCAAAGCACAGTGTCACCTCCCCCACCCCATGGTGGCCTTCTCCTTTTCCAGCTCACTTGTCCTGGGGTCTATATACTACCCTGGGAGTGGGAACTTTGAGAGTCCAAGAAAGGGTTGTGTAAATATGAAGATGCTGTCTAAAATAGGCATGTCGGTTAACATGCAAGTTCTTTCTAGATGACAACCCCTAAAACTGACAAGGGGTCTTGGCTACAAACTGTCATGGAGGCTACAGGTCAGGCAGCTCTGTCAGAAGATAATACTGATCTTTAGAAATCATGAGACTTAGGTGGGCACCCCCTCAATGTTACTAAGGGACTTTCTGGAAACCCTGAGTGACATGCCCAGTGCAGCCACCTCAAGCCTGATCCTGGCCAACAGTAGGTTTGCAAGTCAGGTCAGAGAACAGCATCCCCATCTCATAGGCTTATAATAGGGTAGGTCAGCCTCTTCCTTGAGGCCTTTGAAAGTACATGAATGCACTCTCAGAATCTGGATGTCTTGTGGGAGGCCAAACAGCTGCACTTGGGTCTTCATGTGATGTGTCAGGAGAGTGCTCTCCCTCTGCATTCCATGATCATTCTAGCTAGGCAGGAAAGCTAGTAACCTTGAGGTCTCACCAAGCTTCTCATATGGGCTGTGGCTTTGTCCAGGTCTTCTGGGGTGGGGCCAGGTATAGGCTAGGGGTCCTGTCTTATCTATACTTCTCACTAGGCTCTGAAAATAGCAAATTCCATTCTGGATCATAAAGTCTCTGAACAGTTCAGCTCACCCCTGTGATAAGTGTACAGTGCTGTCTCCCTGTCCTGTCTTTTGTGCTCTGGCTGGTGTATCCAGAAGCATCTTGTGTAGACAACACCTTGTTCTTCTCACTCTTCTCCTTCTGAGACCTGTTATCTCAGGCTAACAGAATACAAAGGGTCTCTACGACCTCTGCCCCGTCCACATCTATGTGGCTCCTGCCCTGAGTACCCCACATTTCCCCTCTTACCTGTGCCTTCCTAAGGTTCCTACCTATGTGAGCCTGCTGCTCTACTTGATGAGCTCCCAAGACAATTTAAATATACTTTCCTAGGCTGGGCTGGTGGTGGATGACTGTAATCCTAGCAGTCAGGTGCTGAGTCAGGCTAGCCAGGGCTACATAGTGAGACCCTGCCTCAAAAAGAGAAAAATGAACAAACACTTTTTGCAATTAATATGGCATTTGCAAGTAGCTCATCCTCAATGAGTCTGAGCAGCAACTATTGCTCAAACAACAAAATGACCCTGAAAAGCTTCTTGATAGTAAGTAACAGGATGAAAAATTTGGAAAACAGGCTAAATGGATAATTCTGGTTGCTAACACAGTCGAACACACACTGAGACTGAAGTGCAATAGGAACAAAGCAGCCATCAGTCAGCATTTCCTGAGGGGAAGCTGGTCCCTAACCCCCTGGCTGGGGACAGGACTGTTTGGCTTTGTGCCCAGGGACCAGGAGGTAGAGATGGCGATGCTTGTCTCTTCCCTTTCATCTTCTCTCCATGACCTTTGCTCCCCCTTGTACCAACCACTAAGTCAGCTCGCACACTGTTCTTCATGGACAGAGACAATGGGAACCACATGGCCAGTGATACCTGTTGCCTCCACCTCTGTGGATGTATATCGCCAGCCTGCATGACGACCTGCTACCATTTAAAATCAGACTTATGACCAATCTTGAGACTCTCATGCAAAACCCCACCATGTGACCCAATTGGATCTAAAAACCAGCCCTCTGGGGAGGGACAGCTGCTCAAATTCTGTCATCTAGACAGATGGCACCAGGGTAACATCCTTCATGCCTGAGCAGTGAGTGACACTTTATAAACAATACACTGTGGGCATAGCCGTTGGTGTCACAGGGCTGGCTGTGTGGTTTGCTCACAATTTCATTATGCCTAGGGCACTGAGGTACAAATACAGGACAGGCCACTCTTAGAATTTCCAGACATCCTTGTTGGAGGCATCTGGTAGGGCCACCTCCTGCTAGTCCTGTGCCATGAGTTCTTGCTTTCAGAATACATTGAGTTGGGGTCACTCGGTGCTTTTTGACAGCAAACATCCAAAGGACCGGCCTGAGCTGCAGAATAAACACAGGGGGCATTCCTGACATTCTCAACCCTGGTCTAAGGGCTCTGTGCTCCCAGATGTCATGAGAGCACTGAACAGGAACATGGTTCACATGGGTCAGACTCAGGCCCCCATGTCTTTCCTATGTCATACTGGGACCTCCCCAACAGGGTCATGGGTTTTTTTTTTTTGTTTTGGACCATTCTGTTAAGTGGGACCCAGGACCTCATCACTGACCAGGGACTCTTCTCTCAGAGAGGCTGGGTGTCAGAGACCAAGGGTCTACTTGACTAGTGGAGCCCAGGTTTAGCTTCGCTCTTTGGTGCTCACTTTCTCTGCCTCACTTTTCAGAGCTGTTGTTCTTGGTCAGGAATCCTAAGTCCTTTTTCTGAACTTAGGCTGCACCTGAATAATGAACACAAAGTTGAACCCTGGCACAGATCAGCTGGACCTCCATGCTACCATGGGAGGTAGCCCCTGAGCATCTCTACACACCCTGTGCCATGCTGGACATCAAATATTCCCACCTAGACAGGCTGACTGGCTGCACACTTGGCCTGACAGACTGTTTGGTTAGGCACATTTATGCAGGTGCTCACTGAGACATCTTAGGCTGCGCACACAGGCCCTCTGGGTGGGGGTCAGCAGCTTCAATGAGACTGCTTCTTTCTCAGCAGGGTGGGGATCTGCAGCACTCTGTGATTCAAGGGAAACTCATTCAGTCAGGGAGTGAATGACTTTGTAGAGTCTGTCATGGGGTATGGCGGAACTTAAGCTGCCAGGAAGACGGGGCGAGGAAGACAGCAGAATGGGGAGCAGGGGCAGAAGGGCAGGCCCGCAGGCTGTCTGCACACTCTTCCGGGCTCCATGAGCCGGTCTTCAAGCCTCACTGCACCTTATGCGTGCCGCTTAGTGAGCCACTTGGGTCATTCTCTTTCCAACCTGCTCTGTCATTTATTCAGCTCCTTTCCTGGCCTTCAAGATGAAGCTTGGGATGCCTGTTAGTCTGTTTCTGTACTGTTAACATCACACTGCCACACCTTCCAGTTCTACTATGCTTTGAAGTAGCGGAGTCTCTGGGTGGTTATAGTATATATAGTTATATATAGTTATAGTATATATAGTATATAACTGCGGGTCATGTTCCCATATGGACTTAATGTGTGTGTGTGGGGGGGGCGGGTATCACAGAAAAACTGACAATAGTAAGAGTTTCTGAATGTTCAAAAATCTCAATCTAATGGACAATGCATCTGAGGTGTTTTGGGCAGGGTTCACCTGTGGTTCTGGGTACTTTACTAGAGCCTTGGCTCTGAACATACAGAGTGTGCACTTGGGACTTCCTTGTTTTTTGTGTTCTCATGCCAAACAGTGTCAACAGTTGCTGCCTGAAACACCTCAGCTCGATTTGAAACTCTGTATTTTCATCACTAAGAGAAACATGATTGCTCTTACAGAAACACAATTGTTTCATAATGAGTAGCAAAGATTTTAAATATTTTTCCTACCATCATTCCTCAGCATGTATATATCAAATTGGTACATCTTTGGATTGAATTATAGTAATTGATTCTTTTTCTTTCTTCTTTTTGAGACGAGGTTTTACTATATATATAGCCTTGGCTACTCTGGAGCTTGCTATGTAGACCAAGCAAGTCTCGAACTTAAAGAGATCAGCCTGTCTCTGCCCTGATTGCTAGGATTAAAGATGTGAGCCACCACTCATTGCCTATTTTTCCTCTTTTATAACGTTTGGTTTGCTGACTTGAGTTTCGTTTAAAAAATCATTAAAGAATGATTAAAAATCATTAAAAAATTGATTTTGGATTCTGACAGAATTTTTAACAGTTTCTGAAACTCCTTTAGCCAAACTTCTGCTATCTTGTACTATATATTCACGTGAAACACTCACATGGAAGCTCACAACTATCTGTACCTCTAGTTCCAGGAGATCTGACACCCCACACAGACTTACATGAGGGCAAAACACCAATACACATAACATAAAAATAAGTAAATAATTTAAAATAGACAAGCAGTGTGCTCACACCTTTAATCCCAGCACTTGGTAGGATCTCTCAGTTCAAAGTCAGCCTTATCTAAAAAGCAAGTTCCAGGACAGCCAGGACTATACAGAGAAACCCTATCTCGAAAAAACTAAAACTAAAATAAAAAAAAATATGGGGTTGTCAAGATGGCTAAGTAGGTAAAAGCATTTACACTAAGCCTGAGTTTGATCCTTCCACCCCACATGGTGGAAGGAGAGAACTGATTCCTGAAAATTGTCCTCAGACCTCTACACACCTTCTGTGAGATGCACATTGCTGTACCCCCAATAAATAGGTTAATGTAAATAAAGTTTATAAAAATCAGAATTGTATCAACTCTGAAAAATGAAGATGCTCTACATCCTATAGTACTAAATATCCAACCAAATATTTTTTTGTTTTTTGTTTTTTGAGACAGGGTTTTTCTGTGTGTAGCCCTAGCTGTCCTGGAACTCTCTTTGTAGACCAGACTAGCCTCGAATTCAGAGATAGCCTGCCTCTGCCTCCCAAGTGCTGGGATTAAATG